ACCTCTCTGGTGTTAGGATAGATTAGATAAAGCTTCGTTGTTTATATTTAACTCAGATAAATAAAGGTGTTGTTTCCTAGAGGATTAAGTTAGTTTCTTTATACAGATAACTGTGAGATATAAGCCTATTTTAGCTTTAGCGAGTTGTCACATGTCAAGTGTTGTAGATTGGCAAGTTTTCAGTTCGACTTGTATTTGATAATTGTTAAGTGATAAGGTATTGGTTCCAAGTTAAATGGAGGACTTGTACGTAATATATTATATCACAATAGATTAGGCTTATCTTGTTTGGTGCTCGTCAAACTTTTATAACGTTTCGTTAAGTTTCGTTTTACATTGTATTACTTAAAGGATGAACTTAGGGTCAATATGAACTCAACCATGTTTGAGTGTGGATCACGTGACCCCCACTGATCCTACTCTTGATAAATTGTGACCACAGACGACCAGGGATGGAGTTAGTTATTTTTGTCTCCGCGCACTAAGGGGAACTAGTTTTTATGTCCACAGACCTGATAATACACGCCATTACTATGGAACTAGAACATTAGGAAGTTTTTAGTGTTGCTAATTAGTTCACACTTCCTGATTATGAATGTGACGGTGAATCATAAAGAGGATTTGTTTGGGTTAGGTAAAGTGAAGAGGTTGGTCAGTAACATGGATGATTGGGCTTAGGTAATGAAGTAAAAGGAGAGATATTAAGTGGGTCAGGGTTCAGGGGTGGGTGATGGTAGGTATTGAGGCGGTGTAGTGGTTGGTGAGAAATATGAGAAAGTCGCTTGTGATCAGAGATGGGCAGTGGTGTGTGGGAGTCCACCTGGTGCATAATGTAAGTTTCCTGTTTGGCTGGGGGTAGGGGGAAGGGTTGGCTTTGTCGGGTACTAGTAGTTGAGAATGTGGGTGGAAGTTTTTATGGGGAAATTCCTAGTTGCTAAGGGGGTGTATTTTGTGGTTATTCCGGGCGGTTGATGAGATGAGACATTGTAAGAGGGTGAAATAGTCTCTTGCGACAAGTTGAGGTATCCGTGTCGTTCTAATGTACTGTTCTTACCTGACCAAACCAAACGAAGCTACAACTAGTATAATCTAGTCTAATCCGATATAAAACTTAATTTTGTAAAACCTTCTCCCATTTACAAGAGATAAATGGGAGTAAATATGTTTAGTCGATCAAGGTTCAGTTTACCCTGCTCCAATTTAACCAGATATGGCCTATACCCTGTACGACAACTTAACAAAACGAAGCCCTGTATTCATCCCGGGGCAACACAGTACAGGTACGACTATTAAGATGGTGGTCCATTTTCTTCAAGTGTGGCATGAGACGAGTGCCGTAGCCTAGACAGTGTCCCGTGAATATCTGGAATCTGAAAACCCGTCTTAAAGTGAATACAATACTGTACATATTTGCTCAAGGGTGTAGAGTCAGCCGGGTTGAAAATCGGCCGTGAAAGGAGAGACGTGGGGCTTGCTTGACATCGTGTCCTGCAGCTCAATTTATCTGTGGTCTTGTGGTCTGGACTGTCTTCTGATCTCGTGCTTCTTGTGATAATGTAAACAAAAATACCACTTTGAAAAACAGGAAGGGACATTTTTAAAAGATTGAAATAAACGTATTTATTTTTGTCTTGTAAAAATTCACAGTCAGCGTAGATATCAACTTTCTTTTTATACAATCAATCTCTCCCTCACGCATAAAATTACAGGTATACCCGGGGTGAATACCGGTCTAGATCCATGACTGTATACACCGATCTGTACACGGGCCTTAACCCCTGAATGTAAACTGGCCTCAACAGATACCTAACATCGCAGTAATGCCTTGGGAGTGAGGGTATGGCAACCTCTTATTGCGATACACCTGGGTGTTGTCTGTCTCGAGTCCCATGTTGTGTAACTTTACTCCGTCCTGTTGAGGGTCGCCTGAATGTTGCATTATGTGCACGGGGTTAGTATGATCTTCCTCTATCCCCGTACATACAGGGAAGAATGTGTGTAAGCGAGCTGAACCGCTGTCTTGTGCTCCCTGAGTTGTGTGTGTGTGAACAAGGCATCAACACCATGCTTGGCCCAGTCCAAGCAAGAAACTGGTTTCTTTCAAGGTCTTCCAGTTGATGGTATAGATAAGAGTGCCCCCCCCCCCCTAGTTTGTGACCACATGTTCATATAACACTGGGACTGGCCTGATGAACAACGTAGGATGAACAACACGTAAAGAAGTAATCATATGTATTGTCTAGGTAGGATGTGAAATGTTTTACTATTGTACTATCGCCAGCTTCTTCACCTAAACACTTTGTTCATTACTTCAGTAATGGCCAGCTCTTGTAGAACTAAATAACAAAACGAAAATTATAAAAGTGAGGCCTTGAAGTTTAACATTTATTAACGAGAGTGATTTTGGGGGGTGACCTTACCTCCAGTTCTGTGATGTAGGTAAGATTCCTTTATATCAGGGAAGATGTACACAGCGATGAAGGGGGAATATAATGTGTGATTTTACCTAATCACATTTATACCATTTGTAACAACTAATAAACTCCAGAATTTCTTACCTAGCCTTCTAAATATACTAACGAAAATAGTTTAGCCTTGTGAAAAAATTACGGTGAATAATAATAATTGAATAAGTTAAGTGAAGAGGAAGTTTTCGAGGGCACAAGCCAAGCTTCAGTTATCGTTAACGTCAGTGAAGGTGTACAGTATAGATTCCCTACTGTATCAGCAGCGGGAAGTACAGTATATGCTGCTAAGGTCACCCTTATATTGATTTATCATTAAGTTGGTGATAGAACTACCTGTACTGTATACCTGTATGATAAGTACTGCTGGCTCGTGTATTAGGTCTCTCCTAATTATTATTATTATTATTATTATTGTTAAAAAGTGTTAGATGTTTAAAACCATTCGACGCGAGGTTATCATCAGGTGTTGGCAAGCACGAATTGCCGAATATCTAGTTGTTTATTCAGCTGTGCCTGGGCAGATAACATGAAACCTCTGGAGCGGTACTTGTTTGAATTCACGTTGTATGTATAACGGGGTGTAAAGAAGTAAGATTCTGAGGAATTTATTGTTGTGGGACATCGGGTAGATCTTGTATATCCAGATTCCGGGTTGTGACGGACTCCGGTGATAACTTTCATTTGCAGGTTGACAACCTAGCTCCCGTTCCAGCCAACCACCTCAATATAATTAATATGACTTCCTCTGCAGATTTTTTTTTTTGTATATATAATTTTAACCAGTAGTGTTACTTGGGATAATTGAAGTCTAGTAATCTGCATCTTGTAAGTTTTCATATCACAGTCCTAAAAGGAACACATTATAGTTGGTGTGAGTCACGTCATCACATGCAATGGTTCTTTGAGTCGGGTGTGGCACGCGACATAACCCATAGTATGTGGCTTAATATTATCTTCGAGAACTTTACAGTTCGTTATTTTTATACCCTCGTTAAAAACTTAATGGTATAGCACGTCCAATATTTATTGGTATTTTTTTATAATCCGGAATAGAACTTGTTATCAATAAAGGTAAAACTATACATGAATGTGTATCAGCAGTCCACAGAGTGACTTTTCAAGGCTACACAGCTCTACAGCTCTGGTAAGAAGTAAGGCTGATACACTTGTTGTAAGCCAAACAGAAGTTAAAAATGAAAAGTTTAATATTATTGCTAATGATATCACGTACAGGTTAGATAATGTTAATTTTGGTGCTTTGAACAAGCGAGGCTTGTAACGTATTCCTGTGTTTGTTGAGTGGGATGGACAGAGGTGATAGGGTGACCAGTTAGTGTTTTTCTTCTGGCACAGTATTGTAATGACGTCTGTGCCTCGCTACTGAGAAAACAACAACACGCAGTTAGCGGAACTTACCCCAACTGCACGATTAAATCAGCAGTTACTAATGTACTTGGATATTAGTCATGTTCTTTATTATTTATCATTTGCGCTGGTCCTTGGAGAAGTTAAGTACGAGGTGAACCATAGTTGTATAAATAGGTTGTCGTGTGACCTTGAATGTTGCTGGGGTTTACTAATTCCTGACACTGCACTCGCAACACCCCTTCTCCCTCTCCAACACCACCTCCACTCCATTCATTATTTTATCCACCACTTCAACATCCAGTATTTCCCCATCCCGTCCACTCCAACACCCATAACCTTCATATACAGTATATTACTACGGTTTCCTCCATACGTCCACCTCACATGAAGCTCTACACCACCCAATCCCCTCCACCACCCTCCAGTCGACAGTATCTACCCCACTCAACTGTGCACCGCCGTGTCGTCCCGCTTACGTAACACTGTTGATGACCTTGTACTGTATTTTTTTCCTTTGAGATGTGATAAAATTCTTACGTATAGGGTTAATATGTAAATAGGATTCTGTTTTATGTTGCCTAGTGAACACCACTATTGTATTGAAGATTATTATTGACAACCCTGTTGTCAAGGATGCATCCTCGAGTATGATATTTCAAAACTAACGCGACTTATATGAGTGGAGGGTAATATTTACACGCTGTTAGTATTTTGTCTTCGAATTCAGTTAAGAATGTTAATTTTATATTTTGTTAGCCTGGGACCATCTTATAAACCCGAGAAGCCCTTACCGTATGCTAGGCAAATGAAAAGTATGAGACAAGGGACTTCCCTCTCCAACAGTTTGACGTCAGAAGCGTCATAGATTGGCGATGACGTCATATGTGCGTCATGATGTGGTGGCGGAAGCCGAGGACTTAAGGGAAGTTTCTCTTTGTCACGCGTTTCCAAAGTACTGTATCCAGGTTTTCTATGTCCTGACTGATTTCGTGAATTTGAATTATGGATTTACTAGTACTTATTAATAACAATAATCAGGGATAGTCAGTTGCAATTAAATTGTTTGGTACGTACTTAGATTTTACTACAGTACTGTATATACCCTTAATGCTTGATTTATGATTTTGATGGAATAGATTGCTAATTTTTGTTTTAATATTTCAGAGCATAAGATTGTGATGGTTGGACTTGACAATGCCGGAAAGACAACCATTCTCTACCAACTGTTAATGAATGAGGTGGTTCACACATCTCCCACTATTGGCAGTAACGTAGAAGAGGTGGTGTGGAAGAACCTTCATTTTATCATGTGGGACCTTGGTGGTCAAGAATCACTACGCTCTGCGTGGAACACTTATTACACAAACACAGAGGTGAGAAAATTGGCAAAGCAAAATGCGTTCTATCCAAGGCAGGTCTATCACTTATGTTTCTTTCTCTGTATGTATCTGTAGGTACTGTAATAGGTAACATCTGTTCTTATCTACACTGGGACGTCCACTTTATGATCCTTTCATTTAAATCAGTACTTTATTAGACCACCCCCCCCCCTCCTCCTTCACTGAATCTATAATTTTAAAGCCTGTACTCATTAGATATATTCTCGCCTTACATTTTTTTTTTTTTTACAGTTTGTGATCTTGGTAATAGATTCCACAGACCGGGAGCGTCTCAGCATCACTCGAGAGGAACTTTACAAGATGCTGGCCCATGAGGAACTTTCACGCGCCGCCGTCCTCATATACGCTAACAAACAAGATGTAAAAGGCTCTATGAGTGCTGCAGAGATTTCACGTTTGTTAAATTTGACATCCATAAAAAAACACAGGTGGCAGATTCAAGGCTGTTGCGCCCTTACTGGAGAAGGGTGAGTAGAATATTGGCTGTGTTTATATTGTTTTGCTTAGACCTTACTGTACTCTCCTGTACACAAACGTTTATCTATGTGCCAATTACTAGTAGTACAGCTATAATTACAGTTTTCTTATTACAGTACTGTATTGTTATTATATACAGTATACTATTATTGTTACTGTATTATTATTATTATTATTATTATTACTACTACTACTGTATTGTTATTACTAGTATTACATGTTATTATTACTGTATTATCATCATCATCATCATCATCATCATCACAGTAACCCCAGCTTTATTGTGCAAAACAGGGACCAAGAACAAGCCCAGTCAAAATAGTACTGGACCTAGAAAAAATTTGTTTAGAAGGATTTTTTGGTACTAAAAGAAGTGGATCTTTTTCCTCTGTTACATATCCAAGATCTGCAAACATCCACCTTTGGGGAAAATTTATATGCAAATAACCTTGTATTTCATTAATAATCATAATAATGATGATGATATAAACATATATTATTAACATAATAATACAAGATTGCAATGATTTTATTGAAATTTCCTTTTTTATTTAAATTTAAATAATTTGTTTTTAGTTTCTTATTAATTGTATCCCATTATTAATCCATAGGATAAGAAATATACACAACATTGGGTATAAATTGTAAATTTATTACTGTAATACTGTACTAGGACAGCCTGATTTTGATACAGTATGAGGAATGAGTTAATTACATTTGCTAATTTATGCTAATAATGCCTCATTATTTATACTATTATAACTTTCTTTATATAAATTAGCACAGTACATGTGAAGAACTTACATCATTTCAAAAGTACAACATATTTTCATGCTCGTCGTCATTGTCTTGTAAGATCATTTCCACAGAATTATAACAGTCCATGCCATGGCAATTTGCACAAGCCACAGCATATTTTAAACCATTCTTTTGGCAGGAACACACATTTGGAGAACATTAGTTCTTATTTGTCGATTTACATACATATGTAACGAACTACATTTAGAATATTAGGTGGACTTACTTCTTTGTCGGTCTTAACAGGAACCAGAGCCTCATCTTCAAACAAACAAGGTACAGTATTCAGGTATACACTGGAATAAAAACAAAATAACACAATAATTTACTATTAATGTATGTACAGTAAGGACTATATTTCATGTATTTTTGTCAATTTATTAGTGTTCTGTGTGAAAAATCTGCCCAAGTACCCCAAAATTGCTGACCAGGAAATCAACCGCCCCTTAACACATTATCTTGTGAGAAATTTAGTTTCACATACTGTGCCAAATTTAACACATCATGAGGGGTTTCAAGAATAGAACCTTTCAGTAAATGAGGACTACCTGTTCAAGTCTCTTTAATGTTGATAACATTTTTATATGCTTTGAATAGAGTTTCATATACATTTTCTTAATCACTGATCTCTTGCAGGCTGTACCAGGGACTGGAGTGGATTGGCAGTACTTTAAAAAGCAAATGACAAAGCTAGAACTCAGTAGTTGGGGAGAAGCCCTCATGCTGTGATGGTCTTTATTAATGTGTACATTTTTAAATTATTTGAAATGTGACTTATCAATTACTGCTGTGTATTGGTGTGAATATAGTCACTTGCTGAGTGACAAGACTGTGTAACAAAATATGTTCAAAGTAAGTTTGATAAATTATGTGTTTTGGTGGCCAAACAAGATTGAAGCTGTCCTCTTATGTGAGAAGACTTCAGTTTGCAAAGTAGAAGCCAGACAACTGTGATTATCTCTCGAAATGAGTTAATCACTGAAAATATAAATAATCCCATAGTACATAACCATGTGCTGTGTGTTAAAGTGGGGCCTCAGAGATGATAAACAGGTGCAGTTCTTCCAGGAGTGAAGCCAAGGAGTGTATGTTCCATGTACACTGATCTCAGTGGAACACGTGTTCATCGTCAGAACAAATTCATTCATAGTATTGTAGTCTTGAACCACATTAATACTGAGTACAGTACTTAGGACATAATATGTACATAAATTTTTCCATATATTTTTGACAGAGAAGGGCGAGTCCCTCTTGATTCCTTCTCACAGACGTTCAATTAAGTGCAGGTCTTCAGTGACCTCCAGTTGAAACCTCTTCCTGAACCTACTTCATGCATTTGCTAGCCATAATTAATGGAAAACATTTTATAACTCTTGTAAACATTTCTTGAAAGTGAATTATGTGAAATTAGGTGCTATTGTTCATAGTGTTGATGGCCAGATATATGGCCTTGGTCAAAGAACATTGATTTCTTAAATCTTAATCATTCTACTGATTTTACAACAATATATTTTAGCAGAAAATTTTATTTAATACTCTATTCAAGAATAATGTATAGACAGATATATTTTTAGACGATTTTAATTGTGACAGTCCAGTCTATATATAATTACAGTACTTTTTCTTCATTATTCATCAACCCTTTATTCTATACTCTATTTTGTTATTCTGCTTTCTTCCAGTTACACACCTGTGAGAGTATCCACAAGTATTTATGTGAAAGTGATCAAATACTTAATCTGCTTCTAGGACTCAAGACCAAATTGTTTCTCTGTGACAGAATGATTGATTGTATACACTACAGTATCGTGAGAAGGAAGATTATATATGCCAAGTTGTGATGGATATCCTTAGAATTTTAGTCATGGTCTCTCAGTGAATCTTTATTAAAAGCCCCAAAAATTGTGAGCTCTTTTGTGAAGGTTTGGGAAGCACTGTGCCAAATATATAAGATTATTGTGATTTATGCATCATGGGTATGAGAGATGCTTTTGAATATGTTAAACTACCAATTTTATCACTTACCCTTCATATCTGTTTGCTGTGCATGTATTTGTTTACTAAAATTTTAGGATTTTCTTCCTGTCTGTTGTCTGTCACTCTCTTTCTCAAAATTAATGTAAGATATCAGAATAAGAAAATTTCAGTAAAACTCTCTTAATCCAGACCAATTGAGGGAAAATCCAGCCCATGTTAAGCGAATTTCCCCATAAAGTAATTTCCAGAGGGAGTTTATTTAGTCTGGAAAAAGTTTGGATGGCAATGCCAGCCACAGCCGCTTTGTTTCCAAGCCAGTAGCACTGATACAGCCCTCGTGTGTCTCACTCAACTCCTGTGGACTAAAATATTCGTGACTTTGTGGACAAATTACCATGGCTTCAAAAGGAAGTCAAAAGAGGGCCAGAAAGGAGTTTTAATGTGAAGGACAAGCAAGAATTATATATATTGTATTCCAGGTTAATGATTCAAAAGTGTTTATTTATTTTTGCCATTATGTGATAAGATCCAAATTACTGTATCGTGTTAATCCAGACTCGATCTGGATTAACAGAAATTAGTCTGGAGTTCTTTGCCAGTGCAGTTAAAGTAGAAATCGGTATAAAAAAGGGTCCGGATTAAGAGGGTTTTACTGTAGTAACGAAGTGGTATTGGGAAATATTTTGTTTTATATTTCTATTCAGTCAATTGATGTGACACCTGTGTGGGATCACGATGTCGTCCCTTCTGTCCTTTATATAGATACATTCTTGTGGCTTGTGCTCTCGCCCTGCTGTACTGTACAGTATAATAATTCTGCTTACTGTTGCATATTTGTATTTTTTCTCATTCATACACGCCTTCCATTATGGTGCAGAATGGCCAGGCAGGGTTGTGATCTGATTCAAAGACATCAACAGGTTGTTAGCTCTCCTTAGGGTTGTTTCACCATTAGCAAGTGCAGTCAATGATGTATTCATTTATTGGTGAGCGGACAAAGAAGGAACCCCCACATTTTGGTCGAAAAATAAACCTGTAAACATTTCCTTTTATTGCAGACTCTACCATCTATGATATGGAGCCACTAATTTGCAACACTTGTATGTCTATCCATGTCCATTCTCTTTATCCCGAGTGTTCCTCAGTTTTATAACCCTAGTTGACTGTCTCTTTGCACTAGTAGACACTCTTTGCTTTAGATTGTAATATGGTTATTTTAAGGTGAAAACATCTAATGCTTCAACAGTATTATAATATATACAGTCACATATTCTTTCCTCTATAACCTCACATTTCTACTTCTTTTTAATTAATCTAACCAGCTGCAAAAGTATTCCTCTCCTTTAGTGAAGTTCGAAATCTTATCATTAATATGTTACCATGTTTTAGTGTTATTTTGTATTGAACTTATACTGATGGACTTGAAAATAATGCTTAATACTGTATACAGTATTGGTTTGCATCCTACAGTGCATGATCCACAATTTATGAATTAGAACCTTCCTTACAAGTTGCACTAGCTGAGTCATACAGTAAGGAAGGGGCTTAATCATAAACACAATAAGATTCTGTGAATTAGTGTTAAGTGTTAATATTTGGATGTATCATGTTTGTAGCTTTCTTTTATGAAGTACATAATAGAGTTTGGTGCAACACAGTATTTCCTCAGCACATACCTTAAAAGTGGAGTGAGGAATCATGTGACTTCTTCAAAAGTTCACCGGGGTAAGACATACTTTTGTCAACCATTCATGGCTTATAACCTCATAGAAATAGGTTTAGCTTACATGGAACTGACTGAATATGTTTTCAAATTTGCAGGTTGTTGTAAAAACTATAGGGGAGGTGGATGATCTTTTCTAACATATACAGAATATGTTGGTAATAAAGCAATGAGCTAGTATCTCCCTCTTAATGGTTTACCTAAAATATCAACAAAATTTTTAAATTTCTTGATAAGTAGTAAGTAAGGTTTCTCGCTTCCAAACAAATTAGTCAACTAAAAATAAATGAAGTCTCAAAAAACAAATAGTGGAAATGAGTTACACTTAAGAAGGGATTTATTTTGGCCTTGTTTTTTAATGGTAATATAGTTACACTTACTATATCTTTAATCATCTGTAATACTGTACAGATTTATTAATTTTATTTTATGTTGAGGCAGTACTGCATTACATAAGTACTGTACTCTGACATAGCTTACAAGTACAGGTTGTACCTCTCTAGTCCGGCATTCTGTGGTCCGAAAACTCCCGTGGTCCGGAACGATTTTAGTTTGTCCAATAGGTAGATAAGCAGGGTTTTTTTTTTTTTACTTATCTCAGTTTTTTTTTTTTTTTATTATTTTATCAATTAGGAGTATTGCATTTTCGCCCCTCAGGCTCGAATGTGGGTCAGTGACCTGTGCCCGGGTGGGCTAATCCCCGAAAAAAAAAACAAAGCCGCGAGAAATTAAGGTTTGTTTGCATCTGGCAATTCGGCTCTCTCTCTCTCTGTTTGTCTATACAGTACAGAGTACAACATTTAACCCTTCAATATATATGAACAGTAAATAAGTGTTGCTTTCATATTCTTATGTAGAGTAATGACGATATGTTTTTACATGTGCTCACTTACATACGCGCAGTATCACGTTTTTCTTTAACATTAATGGTTTGCTACTTTTATTGTTCTATTTATTAACATTAAATAACATTACTTAAAACAACCATATTAATTTTTTACATTAATTTTACTACAGCTACAACCAGGGTCTTATTTTCTTGTTTTATATGTAGAACCACTCAGTCATTGGTTTTGTTATCAACAAAAACAATGCTGTCTCATTTCCTCATGTGTTTTAATATTCTACGTATTATTAATGAATTGTATTGCTCATTTTGCACACATAAACATTAATTCAATAAAAAAGACATTTCGTAATAAACAATAATGAATCTTTTGTACATAAGAGAAATGACGCTGTTTACACGATTGTGCACGTCGTCTGAACATTGGCGAGCCGTTCAAACCCATCGAAATTCGAGTTTCCGCCGTCAAAATTTTAAATTATGTAGTGTTTTTTTTTTGTGTCCAAATAAAAAACGGTGAATTAAAAACTCGTAAAATTTGAGAAGCTACTGTACGACATTAAACCCTTCAATATGTCTTCAAAGAGACCACGAAGCAGTGAAAGTGGTGCTAACTTAAGTGCATGTCACTATCTGTCCAGGAAAAGGGTGAATTTCCATGGTCCGGCACCGGTCAGGTCCTGAGGTTGCCGGACTAGAGAGGTACAACCTGTACTGTGCTGCAATAGAGCTTATTATACACTTGTCGAATTCAACACGTTGCAGTCCTTAGTCCTAAAGCATTGAAATAGAGTGAGTAGTTAATTTATTCATCTTTTACTCCAGTTTGAAAATGTTTGGTCTTTTGTAATGTTTGCTGGGATGCATTTAAGTACATTACATAGTTGATGAATTTGTGTAAAATGTGAAAATTATAACATACATAATTTGGTTTGTATCACTACTTGTTAGTGCCATGAAACAAACGACATAACTTATGTTGTCACAGTTGCTAATGTAAAGAGAAAGCTAAAGTTTCCACTTTAATGATTTCTTATACTTTTCCTTGTGTTTTAAGTTTCTCTGTGTTTGTCCTCAGCATTCTCATTGTTGAATTAGATTACAGTACTGTAAGATATATTAGATTTCAGGGACACTTCTTTTAAACTAGGCTCAACCCTAAACTTTCCAATCTTGGACTTTTGTATTTTTATGTATGTAATTCTGTGTACAGTACTGTAGTCAAAACAACAACTTTTTTTTTTCCCTGTGGACAAAGATAATTTCCATTATTTTTCCTAATGAAACGTAAATCATAATATCCTCGTTCATGAAAAATTGGACTATTCAGTGAAAAGAAAGTCAGTTGAATATATTTTAGTATATTCTGTTCCCGGACAGAATATTTCTCTAAGAAATTTTGCTTAAAAGTAAATCTTGGTAGATATAAGTGGTAAATATTCCGATTAAGGCATGTCCCACTCTCACACCTCTTGTTTGCCTGCTGAGGGGATGTATGTAATCCTTCCATTATAAAACAAGTTAGCATTTGGTATGTAAATTGAAGGAGTAATTATAACAACAGGTCATTCAGATGAGTTAAGATTTCTTTGATGTCTTCTTCATATGCTTTCATTGTGGGTGTGGATGTTTCAAATGAATCATGAGCATAATGGCACCAAAAATATCACTTGCAAAATAATGTATGTTGTTCATGAGTGTTTTAAGATGTGCACACTATGGACAATTTTAAGGGTGAGGTTGTTTATACTGAAGCATAAAGGGAAGGGTTTGTTGATCACATTTTCTCCCAGTCGGACAGGCTTTACTGCCTAGCAATAACTGTACATGTAGATACTGTGAGTGTGTAAACTACTGTATAGAGGGTAGGTAGCTACATACAGAACATTTTATTGTATTGCCAAAGAAATTTACAAGACAAATGAATGGAATATACTGTAGATGTTTTTATATCATACTGTACTGTCATTTTAGTTCCGATAAAACATGATAAATCTGCTGATATTTATGTAGCAGCTTTGCTTTGGTTGCCAATCGTTCATCAATTAGATAATATCAACACTACACTTAATTATGATTTTGTTTATTCGTTGCTAAAAGGCCAAATGATTCTTACTCGGCTACATTCTAGGCAATCTTGTTAGCTTTGGGTCATACACCTTGCAAGGATCAAATTAAAGTATGACTGAAGAAACATACTCAGCTCAGATTTCATACAAATCTAGTCAAACTGAACAAGGAATTGAAGTTTATTGTTTTTAATTATACAGGTATTAGTATTTCTTGTAATGATTTTGCAAGTAACTGATATGTATAGTGTCATAAATATTTTAATTATTTATCTTTTAAAAGGGAAATTTACATACTGATTGCCTATTTGTTTCCTTAGACTGGATTTAAGGGCTTAGGGTCACAATGCTTGACCGGGGTGTGTTAGAAAAATATTGGTGGTACTTGTAGTCTACTTTTCAATGTACCCTACATGGTCACTGCACATAGTAGTAAGTGTTCACTCTTTGGTGCCAGTGTTGTATCAATGCACCATTGTTCCCTTTGGTGGTAAAGTGAGTATCAGTGGACTCTTGTACCCTTTGTGGTCATTGCATTTAAGTATCATTACACTAAATTTATGATTTCTCTGGAAAAAAAAAGAAAGCCAGTATACCCTCATTTTTTCTCTTTAATACATTGATTAGTCAGACATACAAATTTTTGTCCATATAAGGGGATTATTTACTTGCATGATAATATCATATTACATGAGTTTATATTTATTATCTGCATTGAGCTGTTTCTACATAGTGTACGTAATATGTATTTCTCAGCAAATACTTATGAATTTTGGTATTGTGTGTAGTAAAATATGTCATTGTGTTTCTAATTTTACATGCTTGTGTGGTCATTGTTGACGAGTAAGAAATGTAGTCTTGGACGCCCATTTCATATTAGGTTCTAAGGTATTAACTGATGCTTTTAAAAGTAATTGGTCTCATTTGAGTAAGTACAGTACAGTATATTGTTTGTGAGTCACTTAAAACCAAGTTAAATATATACGTATACTGTAGTGTATGTCTTTAAAACTTGAGATGTTGTTTTAAAAGCTTGCTGTTCTGGAGTTAGGTGGGCAAATTAGACCTACACACACACACACACACAAATAAATACTTGTGTGTGTGTTTATATAATATGCTGAGTACTGTACTGTACATAAAAGTCTCCTTTAACCAGATTAATTGGTGAATAGCCACACTGGTTCAGTGAGAATCCAAGTTACTCATAAATATTATCATTGCCAGACAAAAGTCTTCCTAAACTGATAATTTTGCAGTTACTCAAGCTGTTATCCATCAAAATTTGGAAAAATGAATGATAAAGCACCTATGAAGAAACTTGACAAGTTATATATATATATATATATATATATATATATATATATATATATATATATATATATATATATATATATATATATATATATATATATATATATATATATGATATATATATGTGTATATATATATATATGTGTATATATATATGTGTATATATATATGTGTATATATATATATGTATATATGTATATATATGTGTATATATATGTGTGTATATATATATATGTGTATATATATATGTGTATATATATATGTGTATATATATATGTGTATATATATATGTGTGTATATATATATGTGTATATATATATGTGTATATATATGTATATATATATGTATATATATATATATATGTGTATATATATATATGTATATATATATATATATATATATATATATATATATAGTCAACCCTCACTTTACGCGGTCCCACATTCCATGTTTACACGGTAACCTGCCAGAACCCGGGATGCTCACATTCCGCTTGCGTGTACCCCCCCTTTACACGGGTGAAGTATAATTTTTTTATTTAGCTCATAAAATTCATACAAATTATCCGGCCAGAATATAATTTACATTGCTGGAATTCTTACAATTTGATGATCATTTTGAATATGAGCATCATAGATTTTGCATTAGACATTCAAATTTTAGATCTAATGCAAGTATTTTGTTTACTCAGAGCAAATATGTTATCTTTTGTGCAAAATATATGAATTGTATATTCAAAATATTCCTGGTCTTGCAAGGAATCCAGCAATGTCAATTATATTATCCTAACTTTAGTCCGAGGTATTATTTATTACTAAAAGTTAAAATCTAGTTTTTCACCCAACATTTCTCTGGTAGGGAGGGAAGGTGGGGGGGAGGGTTGGGACCGACCGACCATCTGGCACGGTTGGAAGAGGGGGGGGAGGCAAGGTGGGGTACTTTGATTGA